GTCTCGATCTCCTGACCTCGTGATCTGCCCACCTCGGCCTCCCAAAATGCTGGGATTACAGTCGTGAGCCCAGCCTATATGGACTTTTTATGCCCTTTAATGCCATCTGTGAAGTGTGCCCTCTGCACCTCACTTTTTGCCTGGTAACCCTTGAAAAACAAAATCTGCAGAAAGCCAAATACACATCCTGCCTCCAGTAGGGACAATTGGCTGCCCAGGAGCTGAGCCCAGGTTGAAACAGGGGAGGCCATCCAGAAGCAGCACTTGTTATCAAATGCAGGGAACATGAATTTGCTAAAATACCAGTGAACTTTGGGATCAAAATGTAATGCCTTTATGGAGGTGTGACTTTATTTTGCCCTTTACAGGGCTCTCAGGCCTGGCAACTCTACCTTAATATTATAGGCTCCATAAGACAGATCCGTATACCCTTCAGGTGGATGAGGGCTTAGGGCTGAGAACTCTTAAAATAATGTCAAGCCCTGTGTTTAGCCATCATCACCCAATGGCTACAAGAAGTTAAATATTTTGGAATAACTTTTTAATTGACTGGTAAAATACGTACGGAGAAAAAATGCAGAGGTCCTACATGTACAACTCAATTAATTTCCACAAAAATTTTCCAGCATGGAACCAGCACCCACCATGAAGAAGCAACACAACTGAGCACTCAGATCTACTTGTGGTTTCTTTCGGGTGGTTTGTCTTGAGTTTGTGACTTAATAATTCCACATGAAGCATGAGCGAGTAAATGTAACAGCTCTAATTTTGTAGCCTTCAGTGGAACATATTTCCCAAATATATTTCTAGATCCTTCTCCCCAAGTGGCAGGCCCTTCCAGAAGCCTTCCCAATGATCAGGTGTTGCCCGTGGTAGATCTCATTGGCGGGGGCAGGAGGGGGTTAGTGGTGCGATTACAGAAGCAAGTTTAAGTAGCATGTCATGGAAGGGGTCTGTATTTGTCTTCTGAAACATTTACTGTTCCTCTTTGCCATTGTGGTTTCTAGACTTGGTCAGCGGGTGGAATAATCTCAAGAATCAAATCATACTCCTTCCCAAAGCCTGGCCACAGAAAGGTGCTAAAGCATCCCCTGCTTGCTGTCCAACTAAGTGGTAGGACCAACCCGCACTCAGCTCCCGCCCGCCCGGCCTGCCCTGCGTGTGCGCTGCCCCCCACCTCTTGCCACTCTGCTTCCAGGCCTCTTTGCCCTTGCTCACACCTGCCATTCCTGGGCAGCCGCACCCCAGGTACATCATGTGCTTTTTGTGTGGGTCCTCCGTCCGTCAGCTGGAAGTCCATCAGTGTGAGCATGCTTTCTGTGCTCAAGTGTCTTTTTAAAGTCGTTTCGGTTGGCGTCATCTGTCATAGCTAATTATCATGTCGGAAAATCTTTTCCAAGATGGCCCACTTACTTTTTGGTGGCCAGACTCCGGTGTTGCAGTGTTCTGGTAATTGATTATGTAAGTTACGTTGTGATGGAGGGAACGCCCGGGTTTTGTGAGGTGCGCTGCACAGTGAGGTCAGGCAGTGCATGGTGACTTCCTTATGGCTTAAACGTCTAACACAGAACTGCAAATGTGACATGTAAGGAAGAGGTGTAATCTGAGGACTAGAAAAAACAGTTTTCTTTCTGAGGCAGTAATGTTGACATCTCATTGATTTCCATGTTTTGTTCTATTATTGGATTTTGAGGGAAAATAAAAATAAGTTCTTTTTAATGACTTTTATTTATAATGACTCATTTATTCCTTCCCCCAAAATATGTATATATGATGTGCTTGAATTGCTTTTTTTCCATTCTACTTTTATTATCAGTGGGGTAAAATTGATTCTTTTTATCAGAAATTCTTTTTGTTTTCATAGTAATTGGTGTTTTTACCGATATTTTAGCATATAATTGAGCATCCATTCATAAAGTAGATTGCCTAAAGTATTTATTAGAAACAGCAGAAATAAAAGACATAAAACCCGTGAGGTTTTATTTAGTAATAATTTTCCAAGTTTACTCGTACTCAAGAAGTTCTCAATCATGTTAACCATAGAACAGAACGATTTAATGCAGTGTTTGAGAGGAAGAAAAGGTGTATTTTACACCTGAATAAAATAACTATGTCTGTTTTTCATGTTTACCCAAGGCAAACCACGCCCACAGATTACCCACAGTGGCTAACGAAATACCTAGAATATAAGTTTTAGTGCATCTTTAGACTACAGGAGAACATGTCAGAAAAAAATTGAAGAAAATATCAGTTACCACCTAAAAATAAAGAAATATGTGTGTAGATAAGAACTATAACATCATCAAAAGAGAAATGAGAAACTGGGAGTAAGTAGCACTAATGCTGACATATAGATTAATAGCTTTAATATACAAAGAGATTCTACAAATCATTAAGAAAAATATTAACTGTCTACTAGGATAATGGACAGGGAATATCAGTAGTAGTTTATAGTAAAGCAAATATAAATAGTTCTTTTTTGTTTTTTTTTGTTGTTGTTGTTGTTGTTGTTGTTTTGTTTTTTGAGACGGCTGTCACCCAGGCTAGAGTGCAGTGGCGCCATCTCGGCTCACTGCAAGCTCCGCCTCCCGGGTTCATGCCATTCTCCTGCCTCAGTCTCCCGAGTAGCTGGGACTATAGGCACCCACCACCATACCTGGCTAATTTTTTGTATTTTTTAGTAGAGACGGGTTTTCACCGTGTTAGCCAGGATGGTCTCGATCTCCTGACCTCGGGATCCACCTGCCTCAGCCTCCCAAAGTGCTGAGATTACAGGCGTGAGCCACCGCACCCGGCCATAAATAGTTTTTAAACATATGAAATGTTGTTTAACTTCATGAGAAGAGAAATGCAAGTTAAAACTATAGTGCTTAACTGTGTCCACCTATGAAACGGATCCACATTTTAAAAGCTTGGTAACTCTGTAGTAAAGGCGTGGTAGATTAGCACTCCTACTCTTCCTTGGGGAAGTCTGAAATGATGCAATCTGTAAGAAAGGCTCTGCAATTGTATTTCTAAGTATGTAGAGATATTCTTGCATTTATGTGAAATCATGTACATGTGAAGGTGTTTTTTCCAAAACTGTATAATTGACAAAGTCTGATAATAATTTAAATGCTTATCAATGGAAGACAAATGAAATTAGTTACAGTAAAATTGCTACCGTGGGAGACAGCTGAGATCTAGAATTGTTTTCAAAATATAATGTTAACTGTAAAAGACAATGTCATGTACACACACACACACACACACATATATACAGAATGTGTTGATATCGTATAGAGTATCCTAGAAAAATACAGAAAATACTGGCAATGCTGGTTGCCTCTGGAGTAAGAGATGGGAATGTTAAGAAATTCCACTTTTCATTGTAAATTCTGTTGTATCTTTTTAAATTTGAGCCTGTTAAAAAATTTTAATCAATTTTTTAAAACAAAATTAAATAGTAGAGAGTAATTAATCTTATTACTATTGTGAAAATACCTTTCTGGCAAAAAAAAAAAAGTTTGGTTTCTATTTAAGTTTATAAGAACATTAAAGTATACATTGAATTTTTTATAGAAGTAAGAAACTGGGAATAAGTATTACTAATGATGACACATATATAGTGCCAAAAATATCAAGAGATAATTTTTAAAAGATCAAGGTTGTGTGGTTTAAGCTATAGACTAAAAATATTTTAATTGCTTGTCAGAAATATTTTAGAGCTAATATGTATATTTTCACAAACACACGGGGAACTTTCCATTATGTAATCAGTCATGAGAAAAGAATTGTGAGAATTATGTCAAATGTCCCATCATGTTAGCTAAGAGATAAATAACTTTCTTGAACTTGTTAATTTTCTCAGCATAAATAGTTGCTTTAATAATTCAGGCACAAAAAATATATATATGTTAGAACTTGAATTACCTATAGCATCTAGATAGTTGATGAAAAGTATGTGTTGATTTGAAGATGATTATCAATCAGATAATTGAAATGTTTCATAAAATTACTAACAGGCTGATGCATTTTAAACTTGTCTTTAGAAATTAGTATCATACTTCCAAGCACAGTGGCTCACGCCTGTAATCCCAGCCCTTTGGGAGGCCGAGGCAGGTGGATCACTTGAGGTCAAGACGAGCCTGGCCAATATGGTGAAAACTCGTCTCTTTTACAAATACAAAAATTAGCCAGGCGTGGTGGCACACACGTATACTCCCAGCTACTCAGGAGGCTGAAGCAGGAAAATCACTTAAGCCTGGGAGGCGGAGATTGCAGAGATCGTGCCACTGCACTCCAGCCTGGGCAACAGAGCAAGACTCTGAGAAAGAAAAGAGAAGAGAAAAGAAAAGAAAGTAGTAACATGCTTATACAATATAAACAAAATTAACTTAAGAATACAACTAGTAGTCTTTAAATGAATTAAACCCATCCCAGTATTAGTCCTGGAATTTCTTTCTCTGCTGCTTTAAGCACAGAACCTTATCCTTCTTTTATGGAAAATAGGTGGAAATTGAAGAGCAGCATCCCTATAGACTTCCAGGGAACTTTTCAGCTTTGCATTTCAAAGGCACATCCCCTAAGAGGATTAAACTGAAATGTGTCCCAGAATTTCCAATTAAAACCCATTTTTCATGTTTTATTCCAACACATACATTGGTGATTATAATATTTTAAAACTTACATTTAAGTACAGGGCTCAGTGGGAAGAGAAAAAAGAAAGAAACATCCTCAAGTCATACTCTTTTGCTTGGTAATGCCTTAGTAGACTAGACCCTTGAGAAAATGTGTTTTCATATAATTAGAAAGGAACAGACTTTAGATCTTCGCTGTAAGAGAAGAGGAATTGCAGAGGTCGGTGTTATTTTCATGGATCTCAGAGCAAGGCTGATGGTAGCCTATTTCCTGGCCAACAGTCTACCCTCGCCTGTGGGGGGTCTACTGAACCAGGGTAATTCCTCCAAAAAAAGGAAACCACACCTAGTTTATTGCAGCCAATATTCTAAAGCCAACTGGCTCTTTTGTCACTATTATTGTGATGACTGATGACTATATTGTCATCTGCATTACTGCTATTGCCTAATTTGAAAATGGCCCAAGAATCTGGGAGTAAAAATTAAGATCTAGTAAATGGATGTTACGACACTTGGCAATACTCTGGAATCAGGAAACTCTGAATGGGCCTGTCAGTTCCATAAACCAATAATTTTTTCCTCTTTTGTTCACTTTTGGATCCCCAGCTTTTAAACATAGGTGCTCAAAGAATACTTGTGAAGTACATTTTCTATTTGAAGTTAAACCTTACCAATAGGAAATCAGGGATAATAATTTATAACTGGACTTATTATTGCAGAGTGATGTCATTACCTGAATTCATAAAATTTAAGGAAAAATCACCAGTTGTTCTTTCGGAAGGTAGAAAGCTAAGGTGGCTCATGCCATCTAGTGGTGGACTGCGGGTTTGAGCCTGTTCTGAGTATTGGCGAAAATGAAGAAAATGGAATGGTCAGCATTTCATTTACATCTTGTTGCTCACCGTGCAGAACAGATGACACTTACTGATTAGGACAGAATGGATCTCTCAAATACAAACATAAAGAATAAAAGGCTAATAATAATGTAGACTGGAAATACATTTTTTATTAAAATTGAATGTCATTACTTTTTTAAAATAATATTTTTACAACTTATCATTATGCCACTGTGCTCATTCTTTACAAACTCCTCAAATTTTTATTTTTTCTTTTTCTTTTTCTTTTTTTTTTTTGAGATGGAGTCTCGCTGTGTCTCCCAGGCTGGAGTGCAGTGGCATGATCTCGGCTCACTGCAAGCTCCACCTCCCGGGTTTATGCCATTCTCCTACCTCAGCCTCCTGAGTAGCTGGGACTACAGGCACCTGTCACCACGCCCGGCTAATTGTTTGTATTTTTAGTAGAGACGGGGTTTCACCATGTTAGCCAGGATGGTCTCGATCTCCTGACCTTGTGATCCACCCACCTCGGCCTCCCAAAGTGCTGGGATTATAGGCGTGAGCCACTGCACCCGACCTAAATTTTTCTTTTTAACTGAGCATTTTCTTTTAGAGGTTATTTTAGTTATTCTACTAAGTGGCATATTCACCAAGTGCTTTGGGAAAGATGAAACGTGGATTTTGCATCATCTTTATCATAAAATAACTACTGTTCTTTTAACTGACTCAATAGGAAACCTCCCATTTCTTCCACATTCTTCCAACTGTGGCATCATTCTTTGCTCCAGTCCCGTTAGTCACCAGAAAGCGATAAGGGCAGGGAGCCCAGGGATCTGGGTAGGAGAGAGTTGATGTGGGGTTATTGAGAGCCGTGAGAGTTCTTTGTGGCTTGGCTTAAAAGGCTCATCATCACATAGTGGTCTGTGCTGGGCAGCATGGAAATGAAGCCCCAAGCTTCCTTGGCTATAAACATGGAGTTCTAACTTCCAAGGAAGATCTCCCATCTGTTTCCCGATCCATAAGCCAAGATAGACTAGGGCTGAACAACACACTGCTAGTGAGGGTATAAATTATTCATGCCCAGGGGGTTAGATTCTCTGTGTCCATCGCTACTAATTTTTACTCATTCCTGACACCCTAGTATCCCTTTCAGCATATTTTGACAACCCCATCTCTGTTTTAAAATTCTTCCCTACGGGATTCGTATGTCAGGGAATTACATTCTGGTTTAATTGGAACAAGCCATTTGGAAGTCCTCCTGGTCTGGAGAACATTCTGTGAGTGTAGAGAGGCTGCAACCCCAGGATAATGCCCTCAGTGGGAGGGACAGGAGGTCTTACGTCAAGAAGGGGTGATGCTCCCTCTCATCGCCTGTGATGGCTAGTCCGAGGACATCCTTTAATGCCATGTCTGTTCAAGTTTCGTCTTTGGATCTCAGAATGTGCCTACCTGCAAGGAAAATCAAAGGAGTTGAAATGACAGTAAATGTTAACACTTAAAGAGGCTTTAAAAAAAAAGAAAAAACAACAACAACCTATTTTCAGCCTAGAATTGGTTGCGGGAGGGAGAGAACTGAGAAAAAAAAGAAGGATGGAAAGCCTAGGGAATCACCCAGTTTCTGTCACCCAGTTTGCACCCTGGGCTGCAGAAAAAGGTGAGACTTGCTTTCATTCAAGGACATTCACAGAGCGAAGCGCGTGGTGACTTGTAAGTTTGTAGAGTTGGTTCCCGAATCCACCCCACATCTGTAATTTCAATGCAGCCACAGTTAGCCATGGAGACACTCACATCTAGTGGCAGGCAGCAGGCACCACGTGCCCATGAGTGGTGGTGGTGCTATTGAATGAAATGGTCTTTCCCACCTGCCTCACTCAGCTTTCCAGAGGCAGGGTAATTGTATTACAAATCAGAAGTGAAACCACAGCACAGTCCTGTAATCATATGTAAATGTTTAAAAGAAATAGACTGTTGTTTGGAATTATTCATTCTTATTTCTCTTCATTAGCATAAAGGCTTGAGAGAGAGCTAATTTTTAAAGCACATTAGTTTATACTTCATTCACATCTTCTAGTTTTTAGAAGTTATTTTCATTCATTCGCCCATCCATTCATTCATATGTTTGTTCAACACATTTTTATTGAGCGTCCTTGTGGATGTGGCACAGTCCCCAATGCGGTGAATAAATGTCTCCCCCACCTTGCACTTATATTCTATTTTTATTCTGATGTATCATAGTTACTTCTGTTAATCAGTTCAGTAAGAATGCTGAGATAGTCTGTGAGAAAAATGGATCCCGTCGACATCATTGTTACAGATAAGACCCGATGTCCTTTAGCCTCGTCAATGGGCTTGGGCCATGGTGAGCAATGCCTGCCTCTGAAGTACTCAGCAGACCGCGTGAAAGAAGAAAGTCTGGGTGTTTGGAAACGATGGCTGAGTGGTGGTAGTGGTGCATTGTGACCTCATTATTCTGCTTTTGGTTTCTGGCCTTGTAATATTAATAAGGCACATGAGGATTTAGTGTGTACCATAAGATAAGTGACTGTCATGTTAAGCTTTATGTCTCTGTTTCTTTAACTGTCTCCAAAATCTGGCAGTATCTCATTTCTTCGTGGCCAGTGTTTGGGCACTGAAGAGGTCAATCGATATATAGAATTGTGACTCAACTCACACTGAAAAAAAAAAAAAAAATCTGAATCATGGTTCTCCTGTGAATTAAATTTAGTAGCAAGAATCTTGTTTTAATTGGGAAGAAAGGGTGGGTCAGGAAAACTCAAGACAGAGACTTTCAAAAGGGAAAGTCCTTAGGGTAATGAGTAGATTTCCCTCCACCCAGTTGTTTCATGATATAAACTGATGTGGATCAAATAATAGGGAAAGTTGCTGTTAACAGACTGCATAACTTTGTCTCAGATATGCCTCTATTACCTGCTGTGGGCATCAGGAAGAATTGCCTTCCTTCAGCTGCACAAAGAGGAGCCCCCGTCTCACAGGGGTACTGATTTCCAGCAGCAGCCATGGCAGCAAGAGCATTGCTGGCCTAGGTGGCAGCGACTGGCCTTCCCTTGGGACCTGTAGTCACTGACCAGTGCCACCCTCTGCCATCCACCCCAATGCTGCTGCATCTCCACTGAAGATAAAGACTTGGGTGGAGACTAGGAAAACATACGTGCTTTGGAGCTGGGAAGTAGATGGGAGCAGCTGATGAGGACAAATTTTCCTCTTTAAATAATGTCCTTGTAATATGAAATTGAAGAGCACGAGTTAAAGGAGGAAAATGCATCCAAGGCGAACATGCACATCGTCAGTGACCTTTGGTAGGTGGGAATAGGATGTGCCAGGGGGTGAGTGGGCAAGCAGCTCTATTCAGGCCATTGGAGTTGACTCTCACCACACCCTCTGAACACCTCGCAGGATCCCTTGAGTTGTAGCAGCACAAGCTTGCTTTAGCCTTTGCAAGATCCAAATAATTGCCCGAAGAATGAGATCAGCCTTATTTTCCTCCCTGTTCTGTCCTTTGTCTTTTCTGCAAAAGTTAAACTGTGATTATTGGAAAATAAAAATAAGTATGCAGATCAATTTAACAGTTGTATGGATGAAGAAAAATAACCTGTTGTCCTTTATGTACTTTAGCCCTCCCCTGCCCAAGGGAACCGGCCAGAGAGTACTGTGTCATTCAATCCGTATGAGCCAGAAGTTGCACCCTGGGCTGCAGAAAAAGGTGAGACTTGCTTTCATTCAAGGGACATTCACAGAGCGAAGCACGTGGTCACTTGTAAGTTTGTAGAGTTGGTTCACGAATCCACCCCACGTCCGTGATTTCGATACAGCCACAGTTAGCCACGGAGACACTCACATCTGGTGGCAGGTAGCAGGCACCACATGCCCATGAGCGGTGGTGGTGCTATTGAATGAAATGGTCTTTCCCACCTCCCTCACCCAGCGACGCTGGAAACGTCCCTGCCGCTCTTCAGAATTTCTCATCCCTTGCAACACTGATGCTACTCTGAGTTCACACTCCCATGAAAATCATGTTCTTGGAATGATGAATCCTGATGTGGGGTCCAGCTCCGGGTTGTATGTTTCTTGACTGCCTTGCAGGCCCCCAGAGAGAAGCCCTACCCATGGACACAGAGGTGTATGAGAGCCCCTATGCGGACCCTGAGGAGATCAGGCCCAAGGAGGTTTACCTGGACCGAAAGCTGCTGACGCTGGAAGACAAAGAACTGGGCTCTGGTAATTTTGGAACTGTGAAAAAGGGCTACTACCAAATGAAAAAGTAAGTCACAATGCTCCACCGGTCTCACCCTCATGGGAGCTCAGGTTCTAGACACGACTGAGAATAACAAAATGTAACCTGGCATGACTAAACCCTTTTTTTAATTAATGCTATCTTTCTCGTTAGTTTCTGGTACTATTATAATGAAAGCCTTTAATGGCGAAAACTGCAATTACTTTTGCACCGACCTAAAAGAACATGCACCTTATGGAAAATTAGGAAATAGAAACAAGCAGAAACATAAGAAAATAAAAGCATCAATCTCTGGTGTGGTGGCTCATGCCTGTAATCTTAGCAATTTGGGAGGCTGGGGTAGGAGGATTATTTGAGACCCAGAGTTTGAGACCAGCCTGGGAAACATAGCAAGACCCTGTCTCTACAAAACACACACACACACACACACACACATTAAAAGATTAGCCAGGCATGGTAGTGCACATCTATAATTCCAGCTGCTCAAGAGGCCAAGGCTGCAGTGAGCCATGATTGCATCACTGCGCTACAGCCTCAGTGACAAAGCAAGGCCCTGTCTCAAAAACAAAGAGAGAAGAAAAGAAGAAAAACATCATATTTGTATAATACCATCCCAACACTACTACTGTTAACTAAACACTACTGTTAATTAACGTTATAGTATATATTTTTAGATCTTTAGTTGTACACACACATATTACTTAATTAAAATAAAATCATTCCATTATAACAATACAGTGTTTACATTTATTTTCTTTAATTTTATAGTTATGTCTCGTTTTTCTTACTGTGAAAATTGTTGATTCCAAATATGATTAGTATAATTATTTATTGGCTTTATCCTATGATATCCTATGATTTCAAATAACAATACATATTATACAACAGTTAAAATTGCTAAATTTCTAAAATATCTTTGTATTTTTTTTTTTTTTTTTTTGGTCTTTAGAAAGTATCCAACATGGAATGTACAAGTAAAAATACTGGTTTCTAAAATCCTTTGAAACACACCCTCTCTTTGAATTGGTATGATACTAATATGAATGTGGTTGGATTTAGTAGCTTCATGGTATTTCAAATTTAAGGAATTTTTGTAAAAAACAAAATGTGTGAGTAGGTAATTTATATGATTCAAGTAGGTTAAAAATATAGACAAAAGTATACACAGACATACATGCTTTTCGGCCAGGTGCCGTGGCTCACACCTGTAATCCCAGCACGTTAGGAGTCCAAGGCAGGTGGATCACCTGAGGTCTGGAGTTCGAAACCAGCCTGACCAACATGGTAGAACCTTGTCTCTACTAAAAATACAAAAAATTAGCTGGGTGTGGTGGTGCACACCTGTAGTCCCAACTACGCAGGAGGCTGAGACAGGAGAATCGCTGGAACCTGGAGGAAGAGGTTGCAGTGAGGCAAGATCACACTGTTGTACTCCAGCCTGGGCAACAAGAGTAAAACTCTGTCGAAAGAGAGGAAGGAAGGAAGAGAGGAAGGGAAGGAAGGGAGGAAGGGAAGGAAGGGAGGAAGGGAAGGAAGGAAGGAAGGAGAGAGAAAGAAAAGAGGGAGGAAGGGAGGGAAGGGAGGGAA